ACAAGGTGTGCCTTTTTCTGTGGTAATATGATCAACCTAATAGTTTCCAGGCCCTTGAAAACAAATTTCTGCAGTATAAACAGATAACAGAAATTATCATAATGAAACCAACACTGCTAAGAGCAGACAAAGTACCAAGTCCACATAATTTGCACTCATACAAAAAGCTGCGGAATGAAAAAAATCAGTACATGTTTTGGGGCCCTGTTACAAAGGAGGTGCTTCGTTGAGTTTTGCTGATTTCGAGCAAACAAACCTTTTTTAAATATTTAGAGAAGATTGAGTCTGCTTCCTGAAAAACTGAAGCCAAAGTCTGAGCTGATTGGATTTGAAATGAGGCCATCAACTCTTAAGCAATTTTATTCAGAGCGGGTGGGAATTTGATCCCTTGTATTTCAGATTTCTGTATGTTTTCCCTTCTTCTTACAATTTAAAAAACAATAATACTTATGGTCATGCTTCTTCATGTCTTTCAAGAATTGTGTATCCCATTCATGCTATAGAAACACTTGTGTGTCTGGTTGCTGTCAGTTTTCTTAGAACCATGGCCAAAGAGTTCTTTCTGATTTCATGGCTCAAAACTAAGAACATACATGTTTAAAGAGAGAGTTTTGTTGCCTCTCCATACAGAAAGGTATGGCCTTTTTTCATGTTCAGTAATAAGTATGTCAGTTAGTTTGGAGAAGTCAGGGACATAGTTATGTCCCATGAATATGACCAAGCTTCCACTGAACTTTCAAGCTGCAGCTGATTGATTCGTGTGGGAAATGTGAGGCTTGTGTTGCCTGTTGTAGGACTGCAAAACGATTGCTGAGCAAGTGCAGGGATTTATTTGAAGAAAAAGTGGATGCCTTTAGTAACCACTTCTCTTTTGGCTTAAAGAAGGCACTGACAGGGGAGAAATAATTGTTTCACACAAGAGCTGGGTGTTTCACGGGTTCCCTTTCAAGCAATGTTGTTAACAATTTCTTGATAACTGAGTTACCAGCACTGTTGTTTGTGATACTACTACAAGCTTTGCAAATACTTTGCTTTCCTGTCCCCACTTTTTTTTAACTTAATGCTCCATTTCCTGCAGTTGCATATGTAAAAACCAAAACCAATCTAACTCTGTTAAGGTGGGGGAAAATTTCAGACATTTTAGCTGACTGCATCCTGAAGACAAATTAAGAATAACTCCAAATACTGTCAAGTGGGAAATTACTCATGGTTAACCCTTATATCATTGTTTGTATGCCTCAGGATGGATTGTATTTTGGTAATTTAGAATGATGTCTGAGGAGAAGAGCAGAAAAATGATCAACATTCAAAGGCAGACTGGATTTTGAGAGTGTTGTATTAATACTAATACATCCCTCTTTGCATTGACACAAAGTGCACGTATCTGAACTGATTCCTCTTGTCTGTCTGTCAAATTGTCAAATTAAGAGTAAGGCTAACCTTTCTGTTGTGTTAAGAGAAGGAGATTTGGCAGAAAATAACCCCCGTGTGCTCCAGGTGGATCTCAGATGTCAGGCGCTTGGGGCGGGTGGGCTTAGATTCTGAGTGACGGCCAACTCAGCTCTAGAAAACAGAAATGCAGAGCCAATGCAGCACTGTAAGTCCTGTTGAGTTCAGTAAGAGCTGCCATGGTTACAGTTGCACAAATACTGCAATACACTGTAAGTCTGGTTGCGCCCAGTGAGCTCTCATGGCCAGGTTGGAAGTCTGGTTGTGTTCAGTAACTCTCATGGCCAAGCGGAAGATGATGTTGTTTACTGAGCAACAGAAATGCAGATCGTTATTGGATTGCTGGTGATAAATACATCATCTGCAGGAGCATGTGTGAATACATAAATAATGTATAAATAAATTAACAATACACATAATAATAACCTGTGACAAATACATTTAATTGCCAGATTACTATATAGTGCTAAAAGTATAGTCACAAGCACAACCTTGCTTTCCAAATTTCCCAAAGAAGCACTAGATATAGCTGAGTGTTCGAGTCTTACCCCATAGGCCTCCCTCTGGAGAATGAGATAGGTAGTACATCCCATCAAACATCCCAGGATACAAAAGCAGAATCTCTTCTAGACTCCTTCCCCACTTAAGCTACATTTATATTGTTTTCTTTAAGGGAGGGGAAAAAGGAAAAGTTAAAGTTGATATCATTTCATGTTTAGGTGTAGTCTGAGTGACTTTAATCATACATGTAAAGCATGTACAGGTTTCAGTTTGTTAGCATACACAAAGGCATGAAAAGTAATGTGTATTTTTGAGTTAAGCAAGCAAAAAAAAAAAAAAGTTCAGCTTTTGGTCACCATTTGGGCCATTCCTATGGCTTAGTTCCTGTTTTAAACAGAGCATGACCCCAACACCTCCGTGTAGCTGCACCCTTTTTTTCATGCCTCTCTTAAGGGTGGTACACCAAGCTTCTTCAGTGTTCCTGGTCCTAAGGTGTGCAGACAGTTTGTTCCTGGTGAACTGTAGCCAACTCATGCTCTCCTTCTTGTTGAACTTTGTTTTTCTTGGTTTTTATCCCACACAGATTAAAGCAATATGACCCTCTTACCTCCAGCTCCCCATTTTTTTCCCTGAATGAAACATCTCATCTTTCAAGGCATTGTTAACACTATTCTAAGATGCTTTCTTTGGGCAAGGAACCAGAGGGATTAGACGCAGGCCAGAACATCCTATAAAGCCAAGGATGAACCCAGGAAAATTAATTTAACTGAAAACAAGTATTTCTTTTGTGTTTATCATATAGTCTGATTGTAGCAGGTAATATGAAGGGGGAAACTTGAGTTTTACTAGCTCTTGAGGCTTTAAGTCAAAGGGATTTAATTTTATTGTAATGTTCTGTGTTTTCTGACATGAAAATGCAAACATCTTTGCCCAACACTAGCAGAGAGCTGTGAAGGCAGCAGGCGTATTTTCTATTTGTCGTCTGAATCTCATGCTACCAAGCCTGAGTGATTCTTCCTGGTGAAACTCCTAGGCTGTGCAAAATCTAGCCTTAAACCGGGGAATGGTACTGCTATCAGATGAGATGGGTAACACTGACTTTCCTATTTCAACCTTAACTAAAACACCCTCAATTTGCAGCTGCACAATTAGCCTCAGCTCCAAAGGGCAATTAATTTAGAGTATATACTTTAGGCATGGCCAGAAACTGAAATTTCTGTTCACTAAGAAAATCTAGAATTTGAAATTTCCGTTATTTGGAATTAGAACACAGAGCTCAATTTCTGAATATCTTTGTTTTGGGATGAGAGAATTGTTTTGTTTTAGAAAGACAAAGATTAGTTTTTAACTTTATATACATGTATTTAGTATTTAGATGTAGCTTTAGTACTTAAAGATATTGTACTTAATTTTTTCACATAAAATCAAATTGTATGATTTTCAATTGCTCGTTTCAAAATGAGTTTAAATCAGTAATTCCTGAAAGTATTTCACCTTTAACACAATTTGCATTTTCAGCACAGCGTTCAAGCTGAAGTCAGATGTAGCTCTAGTTGGTTTCACTGATAAACACAGATCAAGCACAGATACTTGACTCTTTGTAGTGACATTCTCTATACAAAGAGTAGCCATTTCTCAAAATGTGTTCAAAATAACCCTTTTTAAAAATTTAATATTATCACTGATCTTGTATATTAAGACGATGATACAAAATAGCGCTACAGCAATATTTTGAGTTTCACTTTGTTGTCAGAAGACCTTCTTTTTCCAAAGATGGTCCTTGACCTCTGGAATGAAGAACTGGATGGAGTGAGCAGAGCTGAGGATCCATCTTTGTGGAGAAGGTATGACAGAAAGACAAGCTAGCATGCTAATGTCCTGCATGGTGACTTTATGGACCACTGTCAATGTGGCAGGAGTGAGAGGGATGTACCTCTGCTTTTGGAAGTAAAAAGAATCTGACATTGTCCTCCCAGACAAGTGAAGTGTCTTTCATCTATCCCTTAGGTTTTCATGAGGTGACAGAGAGATGCTGACATTTTCACCCTCTGTGCAAACCTCTGCATAGGACTAAATCTGTGCTCTTTTTTGACAAGTCCAAGAGACTCTGATTAAATTTAAAACAATTATTTTAAGGTTTGCATGTGCACTGATGTCACTGCACAGCCAAGGAGTGTGTAAATTCCTAACACATCAATTATATTTTATAAATTCCCTGTATAGCTATTCTTAAGGTGTCCCTGTTCAGGGCTGCCTTCAGAAGTAGATTGCACTACTGTGGGCTTAGGGAACTGGAGATCCCACTTGGTGTTTTAGCACAGTGCTGTGCATTTTCTGTGGGCAATCTCAAAGAAATATATTCAGGCTTGGCTCAGGGCACTTCTAGTGATGGTACCTATTGTGAATGGCTGTCTAAATTAGATGTTCCTGTTTTTACCCATAGGATCTAAGGGGAAATTAATTTGCCAGAGAGCATATGTTTTTTTCCCCTTTACTTTCTGGCACTAATTGCTCCTTTAATTTTGTTGGTTCATTGTTTCTTAGTAAAGCTTGCTGATGGTAAAGAGGCACGTTTTAGAAAGTATAAATATTGTACTCACTCTTTTGTTTTCCCTCTTGAAACGAAGAATGAATGTTCTCATGCCCTGAGTGAGTGAAAGACCTTTAATCTAGGAGCCTTATCTAATTATGTACATTAACTAATTAGGCACATTTTCAGTGTTAGAAGGGACCACATTTAATCCCTGCAATTTCATAGAAGGAAATGGAGTAGCGTTGCCCTCTGTAGGAGCTGTGATTGTGCTCATGGCCACAAGGCGCTAATGCCTGTCTGGCTGGGCTGATTATGCACTTGCTTGCTGCACACAGGTCATGTTTGACTAGCTTGTGAAAGCAGCCTTGGCTGAGCCTGCTGCGACGCCGTGTGCAGAGATTAGCAGTGCCGAACGCAGTTTGGAAAGCACGAGGGATGCCAATTGGTGGGAAACATTTAAACTGGCAGGGAGAGCAGGTAGCTGAGTGCAGCGAGCAGTGTACACAAGGATCGCAGGTTACATTTGGGATTTTGTGATGAATGCCTAATGAGCACGTTGATTAGGCAGGCAGAACTCTTCAGGCTGTTGTAAATGTAGCTGAAGGAAGCGTGGCTGATAAGACACGGAATAACTGCTCTCGTAAAGCTTTCGTTTGGCACTGCAGTATTTAAAATCCAGAAAGATAATGGAGAGGAAACGGGACAGTAAAACGAAAAGGGAACTGTCCTACTTAGCTACTTTAAACGACAGAAACATAACCCTGGTGTCTATTCGCAAGCAGCAGGCAGCTCATGATGTGCCTGAACTACTGATTATTGGTGAAAAGTCCAAGATGGGATCTCCGGTAAAAGCAAGCAGTAACTTGCAGAAAGAAGAGAAACTTTTGCAGAGTTACTCCATGGGAATGCCAGAAGTCAATACAGTTGAAAGACAGGTCAGTGAGCTGGTGTGTGTGCATGTTGGGAGGGAAGTAGCGTTTCTGATCTGGAGAATTTAAAACAAAGCATGTTGGACGTGGGTTGTATATTAAAGGAGGTTAAACCTTCTTTATCTAAATTGTCTCGATCCCCAGCACGGATGCCAGCCCCATAACAAGCAGCACACAAATACAAAGTCCTCTGAAAGTAATCTTTGAAAGCACGTGTTAACGATGAGTTATGCGGTAGAAACTAATGAGCATTGTTTCAGCTCCACCTCTAATAATGCAGAGTGGTGATTCTTAGGAAGGAAACATAGTATTTCTCCTTTTGAACTGCAATTGCTTGAGTAGTTTGACAGAAGCTCGTACCAGTTTATTCTCTTAAATAACAGAAATTGAAGAAACATTAAAAGGTCCTTGTAGGTAAGTAGTTTATTTATGTCTACTAAGTGGGTGCTAGTGAAAGTTTGAGATAAATGTATCTGTGGCAACTTTTTTTAATTCAGTGTTGTATATAACTAGGGTATTTTTGTACATTAACTGCTGGGAAAAAGAGGCTTAGAAAGATCAGCGCTGATAAAAGCATGATGAAGTTTATTATTTTTAAAAGAGTCTTTGCTGTTTAAAAGGTATGTAAACTACAGTAATGTAGTTTGGGTCAGTGAATATTGGGAACATTCAAGGAAAAGAAACTCTCAGAAAAAATGTTGTGTTCTTTGAAACTGTGTGTGCTTAGCATGGCTTGAATAATTAGTGGCAGGACATACCAAATATACCTGAAGGCTTTTTCTGCCTCGAGTTATTTCTTGTATGCTAGAAAACAATCATGACAAAAATGACTTTGTTCTGCCAAAGGACCTCTTCTCTGTGTTCAATTCACTGGAATATATGTGTTGCTTTTACTGGAGCTGTGAAGAACATCACAGAGAGTTTTGCATTGTTTCAATTCTAAATTAGAAACATTGCATTTACAGCAAGGCTTTCCCCTTTCCCATAAAGCAAATGTGGTTTACATAACTCCCTTTAATTTAAAAGTACCTGTTAAGGCCTCTAAGGTTTGTTAAATCGCACCGCAAGTGTGATTTCAGTAAGACTATCTGTGACTGCCTAAATCTTGCCCCATCATCTGTACTGATCTGTACTGGTCCTAAATGGGGAATAACAGTCTCTTTGAAGAAGCATTAAGGTAATTAAATTGGTATTTTGTAAACAAAAGCCCCATAAAGGCTTCTTTGTAATAATATTTTCATTGAATCTTGATATCCAGGTTTAGAAGGTGCTCTTTCCCTCTTTTAAGACTCAGGAACTGTTTGAAAAATAACAAATTATGTTACAAGTAGTTACTAAAAATAGTAGCTACTGACATTTGTTAATCTCAGTTTGGGGAAAGAGGGAAGGAAGAACAACCAGTTAAGATCTAATACATTTAAAGAATATTAACTAATGAGATGAATGGACAAGTTGCACTGAAAATTAAGGAGGATGAGGACTGAATGTCTGTCCTCTCAGAAGTGCTGTTGTTGTAGGCACAAAATTGAAGACTTGTGACCTTTGATATTCTTGTGGTTGCTCTGCCCTCATTTTGTTATTCACTGCCTGCCTATAATAAACTGGGAAACATCTGAAGCATTTAATTAATAGAATGTGGCTTTTCAGTTGTGTGTTGCTGCCTGCCTGAATCCAAAGCCATGAATCAGAGGGTTATGAAAGAAGGAAGCAGAAAAGGTAAAGCACAGATAAAGATAAGATAATTCTTTGGTAGTTGTGTGCTCAAAGATGAGAGGGCAACAACCGGTTTCAGCCCACAGACATACAGGGAAAAGAGCAGCCTAAAACCTCTGGAGATAGTGTGTGAGAGGTTCAGTGAGCTCTGGTATTTATGAATGAGTGGGTGGGGAGAGGCAGAGGGGGAGGTGCTCTATGGGCTAGGCCCCATCTCCTCAGCGGCTGACTGCCTGGCATCATGGTGAGTAGTCTGGTGCTTGAATTTCAGGATGTGAAAGTTGGCATCCCTGCAGGCCAGATGCAGGAGGGCAGGAAAGCAGTGCCAGCCATGGGGGAAGAACCTTGCTGGGTGAGCAGAGGAGCAGCGTTGTGCCAGATCTTGGTATGGGTGATGCTCACATCAGGGAGTTGTGGGGTGCGCCTACCACGACCTCAACCTTGTACTGCAGAGGACAGGAGTGTTACACTGGCATTTTGGAGGTGGCTGCACCTCTTGGGAAGGGGAAATGGGTAGAGGGATGGCTTTCTTGATGACAAGCCGTCCCACAGGGTGACCCATGGAACACGGTGGAGGAGGCATCATGGAGACCCAGCCAAGGGTGGCTGGTGGCTGGGCCGTGAAGCCAAGGAGAGCACAAACTTTGTTGAGTTCACAGCCACAGAATTGCATCCATTCTCAAGATATTGGTCACCATATGTGTGTATGTGAGGGTCTCACCCAGTGCCGTGGTTTCCTCGTCTTTGGGATTTTCTCTGAGTTCAGTTGTTTTTCTCACATTTATTATGTATCCCTTCACAGCTCTGCTTAACTGCTCCTAGACTTTGCACGTCTGAATGGGAATGTCCAAAAGAATAGCCCATGTTGGGGGACAGCGAAGCAGCCTGATGCTAGGCCTCTGAGGGCAGACCTCGATGCAGGGGGTTTGCCCCAGGAGCCACACAGACCATATGCAATGACTGCCTTTCCCATCAGACTTGTCACAAGCTCTAGATACTCTGACATCAGGGCTCGAGACTTGGTGCTTCCAATCCAGCAGCATCTCTCTGCCCCACCTCCATGCTTTCACAAGAAATTAGTCCAGCCCCAGGGCATATTCCCTTTGGATGTTCTCTTTCTTGCTGGCTGGAGGCAGTCAGAATGGAGAACATGAGCCTCTGCCTCTTCCAGCTGTCTCCAAGCCCTGCTGTGCTCCAGGACAGGCATGAGTACTACAGCCCCTGTCAGTGACATCAAGGGTTGTTCTTTATGTCTTGAAATCCTCATACTGGAAGTTGGGCTTCAGATGCCATATTCCTGCACATCAACAGTTTCAACTGCTACTCATCTCAGGTCTCATTCAGAGCTGTTTCCTGTAGATGCAAGTGTTTTCCAACCAGCTCCAGCACTTCCTTTAAAGCTCTTTCCATCTAGTGCTGCTTCTGCGTCAGTGGGTTTCTTGATTATTTTTTTCTATTTTTTTCCCATATTATTTGTATGAGCTGCTTTATGTTGAGATTCTTAGCTTTCAGACTAGAGCCTCACTCTGCTGTGCATTGTCAGTTGCAACTTTTACATGCAGAATGAGGGAGGGAAAGAATTGTCATCATTTCATGTTTCATTATTTACATGCTCTTTACACAGCTACTGTAAAATTATACCTGAGACTGGTAGAGCAAACAGACTTGGTGTACACCTGTCCTTAAAAGTAAGCAGGCTTCCTTTGGTGTGAGAGACAAAAGAGTAACTGTGGCCACTTCTTTCACATATTCCCCTCTGCATGCAGAGTCAGAAGCATTTCCATTATTATGTTGGTATTTCTCTCTAGGCAGAAACAAGCAGAAGGGGCAGTGCCTGGGAATCCCAGGCACCTTTTTTTTGGCATTTTCGGTAGTGATTGCTTCTCTGATCCTCTTGCAGATGGTGTCGGAGTATACAACCTCCTAGATGCCATTTTGTGTGGGTGTTAGCTGGTATCAGGAAACCCTCTTCTGAGACCCAGCTTGTGCCTAAGGAAAACTATGGGCACGTTTCCATATGCCTTGTCTTTGTGCCCTTACATGAATCTGCTGTTTTCCTCTGGTCTAGGAACACCCATCTTGCAAATACACACCTAGATGAATTTATGTGCCTTCAGTTTTGGTTTGGTTTGTTTTGTTTGTTTTTTTTTTTTTAAGCTGTTAAACAATACTAAAGGCTTTGTAAATACTTTATTTGTTCCTGTGCACATTTCTTGGTTTTGGGGGGAAATTCTTCAATGATTTTGCATTTGCATGTTTGGGGGGGGGGGGGTTAAGGGAAATAAGCTTTGTATTTTTCTTATATCCACATCTCCTCTCTATTTTTACCTTGTCATTTAAAAATTTATGTGCAAGAATTTTTCTCCTACAGACCATAAACATCTGGTTTTGTAAAGTAGCAAACAAAATATTTTTGACAATTTGTTGAATGTTGATAATGGCCTTTTATGCAAAATATAAAGCAGCAGCCAAGTTTTGGTGTTTCTGTGGCTTACAATGCATTGAAATAGTAGAAAAGTCCTTACTTTTATGCTTTTCAAAAGACTGGAGGATAAGAAATACCCTTTAATCCTTTTTTCTATTTAATTTGAAATGCTTTTATATCACTGGGTACTTGGGAAAGCTGAGACAGCTGGTGAAAATGGGGGTGGAGGGAGCACAGTGGAGTACATAAGTCCACTGATGTTTCCTGAGTTTCATCTGCAAGTGGCTACCAGAAACACAGTGAAGGGAAGGAGGAGAGCAGAGCATGTTTGTCTCGCCCATTTCTCACGCTCTGTTTCACCAAAGGATGCAGAAGGCAAATGCCTTTGTCATATGAGCCAAAATAAACGCACTGGGTGAGCTTCTGTAACTCTCATGCGGATTTGTGCTTCACCGGGTGTTTGTGATAAGAAGAGGAGGCCACGGCAAGCAAAGTGTCCTTGAGGGACTGAGGATAAGGGAGAGGAGATGAGGTACAATATTCAAATAATATTTCTTGAGGCAGATTTTACAATAAATGAAAGTCTGAGCTGCCTGAGCATTTGAAATGTGGTGGGTGAGAGACTGTATTCAGATGGGCTTCTTTTCCTTATACAAGGCCAGGTTATTATTTCAAATTGTGGGAAGTCACAGATAGGAGCAAATAAGAATATGGGCATCTTGGTCATCTTTGTGCTTAAACAAGGAACCATCTCTGCAGGGAAGTCTGATTAACTGTTAATGTTTTGTTGTTTTTTTTTTTAAAGAAGAGGCTGATTGCACATTTTGATATATGTTGGGGATTTCAGTAACTTTTGGGAAGGGAAGTGCAAGGAGAGGCGTACGGGTCCTGGGTGCTGCCAGGACTGTGGGAGGAGGAAGCAAAAGGGGATATTGGGACTAAAATATTCCTGTGAGTCTTCTTCCCCAGCTTGCTGTTGGGATAGTGAGGGGCTGCACCATAATTGCAAAAGAGTTGAAGTCGCTCATTCCTCCTCCTGTTATAACAAATACAGTATAGAAAAAGCTGAAAGAAAATGTCTTCTGTTAAATTTTTGCTGTTTTGGTTGTGACCTCAGACCTCATTATTCCCAAGCTGTCTAAGCATGAAACAAAATCAAGTTAATGAATTTTGAATTCTGCATCAAATGAACTGGGTGCATTCTAGTGTTAATAAGCAGCCTAAATGCTTCTCATCCATGCTGTGGTATTGAGGAGGGAGTTTTCTTGTGGGTCATAGGAACAAGACTTGGGGTACTGAGCTGAATCTTTTGGCCCTTTCTTCAGGTCCTCTCTGCAGTAACACCCAACATCAGGTGTTTTATTGAATGCTGGAGATCTCCCAGCTTTGAAGGCAAGAGAATGGATTTATCATAGTAGCTTTCATCTAGATCTTTAGTATTTAAAGCTACCTTAAGTAATGGACATCAATTTTTATGTTCTTTCCATGAAATCTGACAATCTGGGACTTGTGCATCTCCTTCTCAATCTTCCCTATCACATGGCACCAGTAACTGGAGACAGAGTCTATGCTCTGAATACCTGTTCTGTGAGAAGCATTGCTGTTATTTTTATCTTTTTAATACTTCATTTTCAGTTGAATTGAGTGCATTCAACTGTAGAGTTTCAGTACTGCAGAGCCCGCGATCTGACTGAGAGATAGTTCACTTCTGGCTGATCTGTTTCATTTCTGGCCATTCTGAAAATCAGTGTTGGATCAAACCAGTGAGCTGCTCAATTTACAGTCTTTCTTAGGTGCCTCACAAGTAGGTAAATGGAACTAAACCATAGTGGAATATCTGCATATAGTTCTGTGTCTTTTAAGATCCTTGTCAGATATAGATTTTAACTTAAAAGATCTGTGTATTATATGCAGAGACCCCAGGCCTTTGTGTGCATGCATATAGCTCTTCAAATGTCATGCAGCTGGTCCTCCCTACACCAGCTTGTTTCAAGCTTCTGGGAGATTCATGATTCTGTTTTCCCGGGCTTTTTGGTTTGGTGTGGTTTGGTTTGGTTGGAACTCCTGATGAGCAGTAGCAGGTTGGCCAAACTGAGCCAGTTGAGGACATTGGTGGAGAGGCAGTCAGCATACTCTCTACTGTGACCCATTGTGCCAGTGACAGTGTGCTCTGAAGAGCAGGGCTCAGGCTCTGTGATGGAAGTGCCCTGTGGCTGCAGAGAGCTCAAGTTTTAAATTATTTGGTTGGGGTAGGAGTACTGAGTCAATTCTGCTTTTACATCCCTAGTGAATATTTTTTAAATTGCTACTGAAGAAATGTGTTGCAGGCCTGATTCATCATCGTGGGTTAACATTGTGAAGTGTTTCAGCAGTATAGACTGACTTGAGAACACTTCTAGCATGTGCTTCAGAGCATATGCAGACCATTGCAGCTTTTACAGGGCTGAAGATACAGGCATTTATTTTCACTCTTCCTCTTTCTCCTTAGGCTTTGTCAAACATCGATTCTCCTCCTGACTGTGAGCTGGAGCCTACAATGAAACATAATTTTGCTTTTGACAACATGGGCTACGAGGAGAGCTTTGAAACCACACCCTGTTCGTCTTCCCAAGAACGTATCGTGACAGTCAACATTGTGGGAATGACTTGCCAATCATGTGTGCAGGCAATAGAAGGCCAAATTTCCAAGGTGAAGGGCATTGTAAGTATTAAAGTCTCCCGTGAACAGAACAATGCTGTTATCAAGTATCTGCAGTCGGAAATAAGTCCGGACCAAATTTGCCTGGAAATTCAGGATATGGGCTTTGATGCCAACATAGCAGAAGAGAAATTGACAACAGTGACCAAAAATCTGTCGAGCTTGAAAGAAGCAGTAGTTAAGCTTCGGGTAGAAGGCATGACATGCCAGTCCTGTGTCACCAGCATTGAAGGAAAGATTAGGAAACTGCATGGTGTAGCCAAAATCAAGGTGTCACTTGATAACCAGGAAGCAGTTATTGCTTACTATCCTTATATCATTCAGCCTGATGACCTCAAGAGACACATCAATAACTTGGGGTATGACTGCACAATTAAAAGTAAATCAGCCCCTTTGAAGCTGGGTGTCCTTGACCTCCAGCGCTTGCAGAATGCAAACCCCAAGGAGACATCAGCAAGTTTTGAAGGTGATGGGTTGGATCCACTGGTTGCTGAGATGAGTAGCACGGCTACAGTGACTGTACGGATAGAAGGCATGCACTGCAAGTCCTGTGTCAGAAACATTGAAGGAAATATATCAGCTCTTCCTGGAATAAAAAGTATTGAAGTGTCTTTGGAGCAAAAATGTGCTGTGGTAGAGTATAGCCCAAATTTAATTACTCTGTCAGCCCTCCAGCAAGCTATTGAATCCCTTCCACCTGGAAACTTTAAAGTATGCCTCCTTAATGGTTCAGAAGCAAATAAAGGAGCATCTCCATCACCTGCTTTCACAGGGGATCTCATCAAACAGCCGCTGCAAGACCTGACATGCACAGCTGTTATTAAGATTAATGGCATGATCTGCAATTCTTGTGTACAGTCCATAGAAGGGACAATATCAGAGAGACAAGGAGTGCGACAGGTAGCAGTTTCTTTAGCTGGAGGTACTGGAACCATACATTATGATCCAGCTGTCACTGACAGTGAAGAGTTAAGAGCTGCCATAGAAGAAATGGGATTTGATGCTTTGGTGCTGACAGGTAACAGTGTTTTTTCTTCTGTGGGTAGCATGCCAGACTGGGCTGTGTGACACCTGCTTTGAAACTCTCTTCTAGAGAGAAACTCTTAAAGCATCACATTGGCATTGTCTTTTCTGAATGACTGGCCTGATCTGACCTAACTGAGCAAGGGAGAGAAGTTTCAGCCGTAAAGCACCTTCTTTCAGGCATTCATAACTGCACTACTGGGTGTAAGAGTTGAGTTGCGTTATGAAGCCAAAATGTTTGAGAGTTGGTACAAGGTCTTTCAAACAGCTTATCCCCTTACCTACTGAAGTAGGTTTCCTACTATATCTGCAGGCTGCTGTAAGTAGGTCTGTCAAACCAAATGTTTTGGTATATGTTCCAGAATGCTAAAACCTGCGAAGTTGATGAAATCTCTTTCATTTAAAACCACTTTTCACCTAGGTAAAACCTCTTTTTAGCGTCTTAATCCTTTGACCTTTAGTTCTTGAGTATTTTTACCTGCCTTACTTCACTAAACCTTGCTTTAGGCACTGTAAGTGGCAGATGCAGATACTCTTTGGTGGGAACAGCTGCTTTTACATGTCAACTGCAGCAGTGTGTTTGTTTTGTACATGTGCTCAATGTTTAAGAAGTTGCTTTGGTGCACAATCTCCTCTAGCAAATTTCAAATGTATCAGTTTTTACCTGCTTCAACTAAACAGATTTCATTTGAAATAGTGATGTAGTTTACCTGAAATTAATTAGTTTGATTGCAACAGACCACATCCTATTCACTTCTTTCATGGGTCCAAACCCTCTGAATCTGTGCTACTACTAGAAGTGAGGCAGGGCAGGTATGTGGTGTTTAATTATGATTTGTTTGGTTTGTAATTTGTTGGTACAAGACCTCCCAATCCATCTGTGGAAATGGAGGGAATCCCCTGTGTTTAACACCTTCAAAAGGAACTCCTCCTCCTTTACACAAAGGAGGCAGTTTGTGAACGTGGCTGGAGCTGTCGTGTCTGTTCAATATCTCATAAAGAACAAAAATGATTGCAACAGGCCTGTTTGTGTTGAGGTCTCCTGGGTGCTTCCACTACTTATTTTGCAGTATTTGCAGTGTAAATACTGCACCATAAAGAGAAAGCTGTTAAGAAACTTGTCATTTTCCTTGTTTGAGATGAAGTGCTATGAGTCCTGCATAGATGACAACAACAGCAACAGAGTGGATATGACTGCACTGAATTGTGCTGGATAGGGACCCTCTAGGTATCTTTGTCAAGTGGAGGTAGACGTCAGGTCTAGGCACTGAAATTGAGGAGAATCATTTGTCATCTGAAAGTGGAGAACTAGTGCTGTAGAGTTAAATGGTCATGCAAGTGGTACTGGTGAGTGTGTAGTTTTATAAGCATAGGAACAATGTACATTATTTCCATGTAGAGACCAAGGTTACTGGGTCACCTTTCAAACTACTGTGAGACCTTGCGTGATTGATACATTTGACTTGTTTGAACTTTTGCATCATCCAATGACACTGTAAATAGTGTTTGTTCAGTGTATTTGTGCATTTATTCAAGATACCACCACTGCAGAATGTAGGCAACAGCATGATGCCAGCAAAGCTGCTGTGCAGCCTCGAGCTCCAGAGACTCCTCACCAAGGCTGTGTCTTGGATGCTCTTCCGGACAGTCCTCACCTTGATGGGTCAAACCAGCTCAGTGGAGCAACAACTGAAAAGTGCTTTTTGCAAATCACAGGCATGACCTGTGCATCGTGTGTGTCTACCATTGAAAGAAATCTGCAGAAAGAAAATGGTAATAAATTTAAGATTCCTATAATGGGTCAATAAGGGACTGTGGGGTGGAAAAGGTATTCTATGTGATTCTATGGAAGAGGCTGTGGTACAACATCTAAAGATAAATAGACTAAATGCTCTTTTAGTGCTAATATAACTATGTCACTGTTTAACTGTCCTACTGCACTGGTGGACAAACCTCATGAAATACTTGTATTGTAACAATAAGTCGTTGCAATGTGATAAAAATTTAAAGTAAGTGTCAAGACGAGCAGAGAAACGATTCTCTTTTAGTTTTCAGGGCATTGTTGCTTTACAGAGCAATCCATCTCCTTCAGAGCTGTTGAGAGCTCTGGCACATTTGTGATGTGAAACTTACCCTTCAGGGCACATTTGCACAAGCAGGTACGAACAAATGCAAGGTTCCAGTGCCAGGGTAAACTTAGGCAGAGCACTGTTTACTAATCTAGAAGTCTGCAGGCTGGAGCTGTCTTTCCTCTGGCCATATAGAAGATCAACAGCTGAGCCTTGGCAGTCTCTGATTTCATTTGTGTCAGCATGCCTTTGGAGGGTTTTGTTTACTGATTACTGCATCCCCAGTCTCACAGTGATGGTCTCACTGCCTTGATTTAAAAATCCAAGAAAATATTAGCACTTCCAAACAATTTTTTTTACCTATGATTTTTATGTTTTGCTTTTCAATTCTAAATGTAGATTTCTCTGTTGTTGTGGTGTTTTTTTTTTTTTAATTAAAAAAAAGGCAGAGATGAGAAACAAGAAAATAAAAAAGTCTTGCATTGTGCTGTGGGGTTGGTTTGGCTCTTTCCAAACTAAGAGAGTCCAGGATAGAGCTTGCAGCAATATGTGCAAAGATTGTTTCTGAACATCCTTTTTGTCTCATTAGATCATAACAAAACTCACCTCCCGGCATGTATAAATCTTGCAGTTCCTCTCATTGCTAAAGGGAACCACAGTGTGGCTGGATCTCAGTAAAAACTTTGCTGTTGTGACTAAGGAACAACACTAGAAGGAGGCAGAGGGAAATCATTAGGCTTACAGTGTCTCAGAGTTGTTACAGTCCTCGTTGACAGTCACTTGTAATATTTTGTTTTTCTTTCCCTCAAAGGGGCTACGTTATCTAATATTTTTTTTTATTATGCCACTGCAGGAATTGTTTCCGTGTTGGTAGCACTGATGGCAGGTAAAGCAGAGATAAAATACAAACCAGAATTCATACAGCCTCTTGAAATAGCACAGCTGATCCAGAATTTGGGTTTTGAAGCTACCGTCATAGAAGATCATGCAGAAACAGAAGGGCATGTGGAGCTTCTAGTAAGTCATGTGTATTTGGTTTAGGAATAGTCAGGTCTGGAAGACTCATTTTCTTGAAAATACCTTTGCTTAAACACTTGTACCTTCAGCAGCTCGGTTCTGGCTGGTGACTCTATTGTTTCCTAATAACTGAAAAGACAAGATCTATTTGTCTTAGAAGAACCTATCCAAATGCACTGAAATAAAAGGTGATAGTTCTATGTACAGATTAGATTTTTCTTAGCAAGCAGGAATTAAACAGAAGTTTTCTGTCAACAGTACAGATCCTGAGTAACAGAAAATGTGTCACCAAATATGTACTGTCAATGTTGGGGGCTTTTTATAGAGGTCTAAGAACTTTGGATAAAAGTAGTAAATTGTTTATATGAAGGACAGATTCTTCAAATGTCAGTTTTTATTCTCTGACAGATACCTGCTTCAAGACAGATAGCAGTCTGCAGTTGTGTTAATAGATCAGAAGTAATCAGAATAATGCCTTGTTGAAGCCACAGGGAAATTTAAGTAAGCAACGTGAAGTTACATGTGCAGAATTTGGCTTCAGTGGTGTTAATATAGCTGTTAATAGAACTATATTAATTATACTATTACAGTTAATACAATGTCTGAGTGCTGCTATACAAGTACATAGCTGTGACTAGAACAGCTGGTTGCAGAATTTTATAATAAAGGGGGATAGTTATATTCTCAGCTTTGTATCATTTGAATCATTTATGCTGAAGCCTTGGGTTAGTACCAGAAGAGCTTGAATAGTCATATAGAATTAGTGCCTCTGTGAGATCAGGAGGCCTTGTTTCAAGTTCATGTACAAATATTGGGTGAATATGTGGAATTGCTAACTATCTAAATTTGTCTTTTTTTAGGTTACAGGGATGACTTGTGCTTCTTGTGTTCACAATATTGAATCCAAACTCGTGAGAACAAATGGCATATTTTACGCCTCAGTTGCACTTGCAACTTGCAAAGCTCACATCCAGTTTGATCCTGAAATTATTGGACCTCGAGATATTATACAAATAATCAAGGTAGGATTTGAGAATTTTTTAATGTATGGACAATTATAAGGTGAAATTTAAAAGGAAATAGAGCAGCTGATAATTGAGAGGTTTTACTGACTTTTGCAGATGACATAGTTATGACCATGTTTGTTATGCTCTTATGGTGAAGCTGCTGTGCTCCACAGTCACGTGTAGTCTCCCAGGTTGTTACTCTAAAAATGCATGCTAAAAAATACAAAAAGAAACCTTTTTATATCTATATCTGGTAAAAGTGTGATATATTTATTTTTTTCAGTTCTGTGTGTACAATCATGTGTCTCTCATTTCCAGTCATTTTAGTGAAGAGTTAATATTTCAGAAAAAAAATACTATTTCTTTTGAAAGTGGAAGGCTTTAAAAGAAGTTTTGTCACAGCTCATACCACAAGTATTGCACATCTCTGTATACACTTGCATTTATTCCCACATCAATAGAGAGGGATTTTTAAACTGGAAAAGCTTGTGATACAGCTACTAAATGGAAAAAAAAAAAAATCCTGACTTACCAGTAATCACATAGATCATAAAATCTGCTGTTACCACGTCCCACATGTGGACAAACTTCTTTTTGCCCACCAGAGGGGAAGAGAACGTACTGTATGAGATGAATGCAGTGAGTAGTCAGGAGGACAGCATAGAGTATTTGCCCTCTGTGCTCTAGAGTATTTATTCAGAAAAAAAAAATCCTAGACCACATGACTGATGGAGCAGCAGTTATTAACATGTTAACTAGTAGACTATTCAGGATGGCGGAGTAGTTATGTAAAACATATATTGCCACAGAAGCATTTCATGATGCAGGTAGGAAGTCTAGATGTACTGTTCTTGAAAACATGCTTTGGGTTTTTAGGGTTTTTGGCAGAGTGGCATATTTCTAGCCCTAACAACACAATTGCAATCACAGCCTAATGTCCTGAGTCAAGACATGGGGAGGTTTGGGTTAGACATCAGGAAGAATTTCTTCACAGCAGGGGTGATTAGATATTGGAACGGGCTACCCAGGGAGGTGGTGGAGTCACTGTCCATGGAGGTGTTTAAGAAAGGACTGGATGTGGCACTTTCTGCCATGGTCTAGTTGACATGGTGATGTTTGGTCATAGGATGGACTTGATGATCTCAGAGGTCTTTTCCAACCTAATTGATTTTGTGATTCTACTGCAGTAACTCACTGAAGTATCAGTCAAAGCTGGCTTTTTACTTATATTTGTTTCTGGGATGCTTTGCCCTGTAGTCTACATGTTTAAATGGATTTTAGACACTTTCATTTTTAACTTCAGTTGTATCTACTAAACTATAATGTTAGGGATTTGCTCACAAGTCTAGCCCAGTGGCTTTTTACCTTCTTTTTGATATATCCTATCTCTCATAATTATTCCAGTGGAGGTGAAAGGGCAGGCATACATTTTCCTTGAGGAGATACGCAGCAGAATTCCACCTGTCAGTGAAAGCTTCCTGTGCCTAAGAAAACTTGGACACTTACTGCATCTATACACTACATTTATGTATAGGTACCAGAAATCCTTAGCAGTCCAAATTTTGAGTACTGACTGAAATATCCTCTCATTTTGGCAGGATCTAAAAATAAATAAGAAGTTGGCACTTATTAAATATGGAACAGTGTCCTTTTCTGACATTTCTTCTAAAAGTAGTGTCATTTGAGTATGTTATAAGGTAATAGGGTTAGTTTAATCAAAACTAACTGATCTTTTCTCTTCTGTCAATAAAAAGGAAATTGGCTTTCATGCTTCTGTGGCTAGAAGAGATCCAAATGCACATAACCTGGATCATAAAAAGGAAATACAGCAGTAAGCATTTCTTTTTCTCTCTCACTAATGAATATGTCTAGATCATATCTTATAATTCACCTCTCCCCAGCACTCTTCCCAATTAATTAGCTAATTCTTGTGTAAAACATATTTAATTTTAATATTCACCACTTGGTTCAAGTACTTTTATTACTTTCATTAGTTTTCGTTTTTAACTGCTAGAAGTCTGTACCGTTAAACATGTAGGAGACACTGAAACTGTCCCTAAATGTTGGATCTTTACAAATATCCCAAAGCTGTGCATTAGAACAGTAGTAATAACCCCAGCTCTGCACTGTGAGCACATTGTTTGGCCCTAATACTGCAGGGTGTAAAACAACCAAAGATTTACAGTTTCTCCTTTTCAGGTGGAAGAAATCTTTCTTATGCAGCCTACTGTTTGGTATTCCTGTCTTAATAATAATGATTTATATGCAAATACCCAATGGTGAGCACCATGGGTCTATGGTGCTGGAACGGAACCTCATTCCTGGATTATCTATTTTGAATCTTCTCTTCTTTATCCTGTGCACTTTTGTTCAGGTATGTCCACAGTACTTCCTAGGGGTTTTCTTTCTATTAATTTCATATTTCATTTATATAATCTGATGTGATAAAGACAGGAGACTGGAAAGGTTTAGTGGAATAGGCCTTCTCCCTTGTCTGTACCACCCATGCGGAACAAAGTGGCACTTTTCTGCAAATTATCCATTCTGTATTTACTCACAGTACTTACTGCTGCCAAAGTTGCATCAAACAGTTTTCTGAGTGGGGAAGGTACTGTCAAAATGAAAAAAGACCTGATCATCTGCAAACTAATTGGGTAGCTATAGGTAAATCCTTTCATCTTCTGTGCCTTGTTTACTTTGCATTGCTGAGGAAAAGGATGATCTTTAGCTGATTTTGAAAATAAGGAAGGGCGAATGAGAGATGTCAATGGAGTCAGTCTCCCAGGAGACCTGAAGTTATATCAACACAAAATTTGCATAGGACAGCGATGCTTTCCCTTACGTTTTTAAATTCTACTGTGGGCACTATTATGTACTGTCTCTGCATTCGCTGCCGTGGTTACTGCTGCGATCTTAATACAAGTCTGTCCATGCTTACACCAACAGTTTCTTGGTGGATGGTATTTTTACGTACAAGCTTACAAATCGCTGAAGCACAGGATGGCCAATATGGACGTGCTCATCGTACTGGCCACGACGATTGCTTATGTGTATTCCTGTGTGATCCTGATAGTGGCGATAATTGAAAAGGCAGAGGAAAGCCCTGTCACTTTCTTTGACACTCCTCCGATGTTGTTTGTGTTCATTGCACTTGGCAGATGGCTGGAACACATAGCAAAGGTAACTCATCTTCACGCCAGTTATTGTTTATTTATGGTAGGAGTAGAATAAAACTATTCAGAGGAATTTTGAGTCAGATGTTTCTGTTGTAGCCTGTACTACACAAGGTCATTTATAGTTCATTGTGTTAAGTAGACGTCAGCATTTATATATCTCAATATATCTGAAACAATAATCTCTGTTTCTTAGAGTAAGACCTCGGAAGCTCTTGCTAAACTTATGTCTCTTCAAGCCACAGAAGCCACTGTGGTGACTCTTGGACCTGACCACTCTATTGTCAGGTACTTATTTATGAACCAAAATCGCTTCAGCCTGCCTGGGTCACAGACTATGCTTGATCCAGTTAACGTGAAAGATGAGAGCATAAATAATCTGTCTGCTTTACTTGTGTCTTTTGTAGGGAGGAACAGGTAGCTGTTGAACTGGTTCAAAGGGGTGATATCATAAAAGTTGTTCCTGGTGGAAAGTTCCCAGTGGATGGAAAGGTCATTGAAGGCAGTTCTATGGCAGATGAGTCTCTCATTACTGGTAACTCCCCTTACCTTATGCAAAGAAGTGAAAGCTTCTAGAACTCTTTATTACAAGAAAAGAGAGCAGACCCAATGTGAACACTGCTGTCTGAATAACCTCCCACCTTAATGGATACTGTGGCTTGCCTTTGTGAGCTTCCTGTGTCTTCAACACCCTAAAAAGCTGAAGAATTTCCACTCAGTTTGATCACTTACTAGTGTACTGATGGGATGGGTAGAGTTTAAACACTATTGTCTTATTCCAGTGATCTGGTGGGAGTTTCCTCTGGAATGTATTTGTAGAGATGGTACCTTCTCAGAAATAACTTCTAAGGGGTAATGGGGAAATATTGATGACATGCTGGGGTATATATGACAGGACTCTCCCAGTGAGCAAGTAGAGGGAAAGAAAGCTTCACAGCTTGATGCCTATTCAGGGTTATGGGACTTTTTAACAGCTTCTGAAATTTTCATTTCATTTTGTAAATAAAGTAAGGATTCAATGCACTGTGCAATTCTTACAAATAAGGTAAAGTACAGAAAAAGTTTACGTTGACATTGGCTTATTTGTTTTAGTTATATATTTACTTTACTTGGGAACAGGGACACCCTTAGCTTAAGAGAACCAGTTGTTATCACTAACCCTAAAAATACAGAAAATACAGATTTTCTAGACTGCTATTCTCAGAGGGGAAGCATAACAGGAGCTTTTCCACAGAGAGCTTTTCTAGTCTTTGAAAGCTGAGGATTGTAGAAATAAAGACAGATTGCTCAAACTCCCATGACAGTGCAAAGTGTTAGTGGAGAAATTCCTAGAAGTTCCTTTTTCAACCAATTTGCTCCTCACCCTGTTGAGAGATGGGATACTGAAAAATTAAGACCAAGGAAACAGCATTTCCTGTGAAATTAAACCCAGGAAAAGGTTTATGGAAGTATGACGCTACTTCTACATGTCTTCACCAGACAGAGATACACAATATATGATTTCTGGTCATCATTGCTTGGCATACTGAGTTTGCTAACAATGAGCTGAGTGCTAATGGACTGTGTTATTAGGGGTATTGGCTCATTTATTCTTACCTTTTCTTTCTAGGGGAACCTATGCCAGTCACTAAAAAGCCTGGGAGCACAGTGATTGCTGGTTCTATAAATGCACATGGCTCAGTTCTTATTAATGCTACCCATGTTGGTAGTGATACTACTCTGGCACAGATTGTGAAATTGGTGGAAGAAGCTCAAATGTCAAAGGTAAAAATAGTAGAGAAGAAAACCTTATTCACATATTTTGATTAAATAATAAAAAGATTCTATATTTTCAGCAAACTGTGTTTTTCCAGACTTCAAAAATGAATTAGATAAAGACTATTGCATATTTTCATGAACTCTGCATATTTATTTGTTTTGACCATAAACATGCAAATAACTGGTTTTCTTTTTTATAGGCACCCATCCAGCAACTGGCAGATAAGTTTAGTGGATACTTTGTTCCATTTATCATCATCATTTCAACAGTGACATTGATAGTATGGATCACAATTGGTTTTATAAATGTTGATGTTATTAAAAAATATTTTCCTGTAAGTAATTTTATTAAGAGTTGGATTTTTTCCTTAGAATACCTGACAGTGTACTTAACATACTTTCTGTGTGTAGGTTTTATGTTACAACCTGGCAGATATTTTTGTGCAATGTGGTGTTTTCTACATAGAGCAGATAATTACACTAATTAAAATCTCTCTGCAGGTATAAATATACCTTTGCATTTCCGCCTTAGTTATGCATGGGGTTCTTACAAATGGAATTTATTGGCAGTCTTTCTGGACTAAACATGATTTATGGCTGCACTGCAAGGAGCTGAGCCATTCCTGTCATGTCTGAAATATTTGTGGACATTCCTGTTCCTGATGGCAGATACTGGTTTTGGCTTTAGAAAGAAGATGATCTTCTGCTATCTTTAAGATGTGTATTTGCTATGCTCAGGAGCTGTGGGGATCTGTGTACCTGGAAAGAGGGTTCTCCTTTCCTAAGCTATAAAGGAAATTCCAACAGGTTATATTGTCACCTGGGAACCTGAGAGCAGAGTCAAACATACATGTGCTTGAGCAGCAAAAAATCCAGAAAATACTGTCATAAACAATTCATAACATTGACCTTTCTTTAGCATTACAGTAACAATAATAGATTGCTTTCCTATACTGGAGGCTTCCAGACAAATGTGTTTTTTGATATTACTATGATTGATTGTACATCTGTATCATCTTCTGTCAGCAATCTTACATGTCTTTAATGTTTTCCCCTTTCTCTTCCTTCTTCTTACAGAATCAGAGCAAACACATTTCAAAAGCTGAACTAATACTTAGGTTTGCATTTCAAACCTCAATCACTGTGCTGAGCATTGCATGCCCTTGCTCTTTAGGCCTGGCTACCCCCACAGCTGTAATGGTGGGCACAGGAGTGGCTGCACAGAACGGTATTCTCATCAAAGGTGGAAAACCCCTCGAAATGGCACACAAGGTTAATAGTTCATTCTGTACTTTTGTATCTTACCCAGGTATTGCTACGTGAAATATAATTTCCCAGGAAATCCTGCAGGTCCGAGAAAGACTGCAGAAAGTTGTTCTTTTTCTTTTTTTTTTTTTTTAATTCATTGCTGCTCATTAAGGTAAAGAAGACAAATCTGACCTTTTCTCTTCAAAGCAGTCATAGCAAAGTGTTGAGAGCCAACAGATCTTGCAATCTCATGACTGTGAGGCTGCTAATGTTCTGCGTGGCCTCAGAGGTTTCTGACTTTTGCACTTTCTTTACCTCTTTTGCAAAAGAGTGCAGAAATCCAATAGATTTTTTTCTTTCCTCAGAGAGCAGTTGTGAAATGCATATTATTCATGATCAGCAGTTTAAAATGTAGGATGCAAGAGAAAAAACAAATTATTTGAAGTTGTTTTGGTGTATAGAAAAAAAGAGAGAAGAGAGGAAGAAAAAGCCCTTCAAAGACAGAAAATAATGAAAACAGGAGAAAGAGCTTGAAGGAGGAAGAGGTTTGACATGTCCACAAAGAATGTGAATTCAAACCAAGCTATGGTAAACTGTATTAGACATATGCAGAACAGTTAAGGGAAAAGGATGGTAAGAGCAGTTTAGTCAGACTGATAATTCTTGTTCATATTGGACCAGAAGTTCCAAGGCTTTGAAACAAACAGACAAACAAGACTGCCAAATAGTGCTGGGACTTTTTACCTTTTGGATCTAAGCAAGGCTAGGGACAGGGCTTTGAAATTTGTGATTCTACAAGGCTGATGTGTTGGAATAGCTGGGAATGGAAAAAATGCGTACTTTGGTAAGTTTTTTGGTTCTTATGTTTCTCTCTGCTGTGTTTATTTTCAGCTTTAGAGTTAACTTTAGCTTTGGATTTCATTATATGTTGGGCTGTGTTTTTTGTTTCATTCCTGAATTCTGCAATACCAACTGGGCTGGCTAACAAGTGACTGCTGGGTTTGGTGAATAGCATGACATTGATTTTGCTTAGGTTCTTGAATTTCTTGCAGCTTCTTGCACTCTCTGTACCTTCTCTATCACAAACCACTTCCTGAGTCCTCTTTCCTCAGCACTATTGTTAATTGTTTAGAACAGCATTCATAAAAGCCCCCTTTGCATCACAATCCTTGTGGTAAAAGTGATTAAGGTGCCATTGCAAGAGTCTTGCATGCGAATACCTGTACTGTCCTTTGTGTGTGCATCTAAGCCCTACAGTGACGCTGTTGTCTGAGATCCTGATGTAGGTACAGGATGATGCTGTAGCTTGAGTGAAATCACTGTATGGGGAATGAATAAGAAAGTATAAGGAGACCTACTGTACAGATAGTTTAAGGTACAGACAGGAATCCCTACTTTTATAGGGTTATTCTGTCTTCTTGTGGATATAGTCAACTGTTTCTTAAGCTCTTGACTGCATTTATATTCCAAAAACATACGAGCATCCCTTCGCTCGCAGGGCTTAAGGAGTAACTGCGGTTTATTTCTTGCAGATCAAAACTGTGATGTTTGATAAAACTGGGACCATCACCTACGGAGTTCCTAAAGTCATGAGGGTGCTTTTGTTGGGAGACACAGCTGTGCTCTCCCTGAAGAAGGTACTGGCAGTTATTGGCACTGCAGAAGCCAGCAGTGAGCATCCTTTAGGAGTGGCAGTCACTAAATATTGCAAAGAGGTACTTAGCCTTCTTATTTCATTTAAGGCCTGAAGGCATCTGTGCAAATGCAGAAATGTTGTATAAAATGATAAAGTTCCAGAGGGACGGGCCTGCCTGAAAAGCAACAGGCTGAAAAGCTGGGAGGTTGAAGTCAGGGAGGTCCTGCAAAGCGATCTCAACAAATTAGAGGGCTGGGTAATCACCAACCTCATTGAAGTTCAGCAAGGGAAAGTGCCGGATTCTGTACGTGGGGTGGGGCAACCCTGGATGTTTGTACAGACTGGGGAATGAGATTCTGGAAAGCAGTGCCATGGAGAGGGACCTGGGGATCCTGGTCAGTGGCAGGTTGAATGTGAGTCAGCAGTGCCCTGGCAGCCAGGAGGGCCAACTGTGCCCTGGGGGGCATCAAGTACAGAATTGCCAGCTGGTCGAGAGAGGGGATTATCCTGCTTTGCTCTGCAGCCTGACCTCACACATATTTTATGCAGTTTTGGGCACCACAATATAGGAAAGATATTAAGCTATTAGAGAGTGTCCAAAGGAGGACAACGAAGATTGAGAAGAAGCTGTATGAGGAGCTGCTGAGGGCACTTGGTCTGTTCAGCCTGGAGAAGAGGAGACTGAGAGAGGACCTCATTGCAGTTACAGCTTCCTCGTGAGGGGAAGAGGAGGGGCAGGCACTGATCTCTTCTCTATGGTGACCAGTGACAGGATCTGATGGAATGGCCTGAAGCTGTGTCGGGGGAGGTTAGGTTGGATATTAGAAAAAGGTTCTTCCCCAGAGGATGGCTGGGCACTTGAACAGGCTCCCCAGGGCAGTGGTCACAGCACCAAACCTGACAGAGTTCGAGAAGTGTTTGGACAGTACTCTCAGGCACATAGTGTGGCTCTTGGAAATGGTCCTGTGCAGAGCCAGGAGTTAGACATGATGATCCTTTTGGGTCCCTTCCAACTCAGCATATTCTGTAATTCTGTGTTTTTATGGTTGTGCATCTTAGGTGGGACATTACCAGAAGGTATATCTCAAGCTATGCTTTTCTGATAAAAATGTGGAGTTCTCAAGCAAGACATTACAAAGTTTTTCTTGAACTAATAGGAAAATAAGGATTGTGGAATATGCGCAGGAGGAATAATTATACTTAAAATAGCATCATGAAGCAAATGTAGTGACATTTCATCTGTTACCTGACTGTAGTCACTTCTGTTAGTCACTTGCTCATTTCAATAAATTAGGCAAAGAGATTTAAAACTTGAATATTAAACTGTAATATTTGTGAGTTTCAGAAATTAATTAATGGATTACTCAAATCTTTGCAAATTTAACAAGTCCTCAGAGGTCATGTATATATTGTGTTCATCAAATGTTTCAGAAAGATTGAAAGCACAAATCATAATGGAAATAGGAAGTCTGTTTAAATAAATGATTTATTTCTGCTAAGAAAAGTCATTAATTGATTTAGGAAAAAAATAATTGGAAATAATATATCAAATTTATTAGTGATAGATCTTTCACTGATAAAATTTAGAATTGAACAGAGTTCTCTTAGTACCTGGATACTTCTGTAGTTATCCCTTGCACCAGTTATTAATGGTTCAAAGCTTATATGAATTGTAATGCTATACTGTTTGCTAATATTCTTACCACCTGTCTTACCATCCCTGTGTTTTAAGAAGGTCACTGAAAGATACATATAATCCCAACTTCTAGAAACAACCCAGAATAGCTTGTTTATAGAAATATCTTTTCTCCATTCTTTTTGAAACTGATTGGGTCCTGGTAATCCCTTTTCTTACCTTGAAGGTACTCACTGGCTTCTCTCTCTAACTCAACAGGAAAACTCAGTTCCTTATCATCCAGCTAGATCACTCCAGGAATTAGAAACAGGTTTTCACTATACTTTTACATATGTGTATACATATATATATATGTGTGTGTGTGTGTATAAAAGGTCTGATCCACCACAGCCAGTTGTCTATGAGGTTAATTAGAAGTTGCATTTTTTCGGAAGGTGTGTGGCTTAACGTTATATTATTTCTCTTCAGTTCCTAGTCTTGGCTGAAGTCGTGAACCACCAACCTAACGCTTTCATCCTTAAGCTACCAGGAAAAGCTGTTCTTTATAGTTTACTGGTGCTAGGGCTGAGACCTGGATGTGATCTGTGTGGCTGTCCCTTTCTAGAAGTCTAAGCCACAGCACATCCAAAACATGCTTATTTTTAGTCCTCTGCTAGTAATGCTCCATGCTACTTTTCAGTTGGTCAGTCATTGTCAAGAGGAGTGATGCCTCTTTTTGGCAGGAGTTAACTAATGTTTGTACCCTACGTGGTCAGCACAGACTGGTGATAACCTCTGGTTACGTCTGCAGGAGCTTGGCACTCAGAGCCTGGGATACTGCACCGACTTCCAGGCAGTCCCAGGCTGTGGTATCAGCTGCAAAGTCGGAGGAGTTGAGGCCATCCTCGGCACAGCCAATGAGGGTCCCGATAATCTGGATGCTAACCCAAGTGGGGACAGCAGGGCTCCTCTGGGAGATGACACGGTGATCACGCTCTTGGAATCACATGGTAAGTCTGCCCTGAGGAGACCGCCAGTGGTAATGTGAGAGATTATGCATCCACAGTGCTGACCACTGTAAACCAATCCTACTGGACTAGGAACAACAGAAAAGTGGATTTGTGGCAGGAGGATGCAAAGAACAAGGGGGACAAAATTGTGGCTTAGCAAAAATTGAAGCTCTTTCTGCAACTCTTGATCTCGCTGCAACTCAGAAATCTAAATGAGAATTTAGATGCTACAGTGATGGGTACTTGAATATTCCATACAATGCTTATGCAATAAGGCACACCCAGCAATATTCCTTTTGGATAGAAGAATGGTCCAGCAGACAGCAAAGTTTGCCTGTTAGTAATATCTTCCCATTTAGAACAATTACCTTTAACATACATTTCTTAGTGCAACTTTTTATATCCTACCCTTTAGTTCCTTATTAACTTTGACCTTTTGTTTTCTGTTCATATACCTCTCAGGGCATTTAATTAAAAAAAAAAATCAGCAGATGGACAATAAAGCACTTCATATCTGAAAACAGAGTTTCAGTGTGTGATATTTTTGATTAGACCAATACACTTGGGTTTGTTCCAGACTCTCTGGAAGCCACTTTGGTCTTTTGTAGTGTAGGAGAGAAAGAAAAGGTATTTAAAACCTTCTTTAAGAAGCTCATCAGTTGTCTTCAGAAGACTGTGGTGCTCCTGACCTTTTTGAGAAAGCTATTAGAAGAATTAAATAGAATCAGAACTTTAATCATCAGAACTGTGCCATTTGTAAATGGTGTTAATGTAATATTTTCTCACCTTCCCATATGGCTCTTGTGAAGTTGGGTTGAATTCATAATAAGGTTCATTGTTTATTAGAACAAAACTACTTTTTTCTTGTCAGAAATAGCCTTTATATTTGAAAGGAGTCATTAGGTGTGAGAACAAAGGAGGATGGCATTTACTAAACATGCATACTGCACTTATTCAGAAAATCAATGCCAGCTGACAAAGGCAAATACCTTTGCCTGTAGGCAAATACCTCCATTAAATTCATGACGCAGTTCTGTAGGTAAACAGGCACAGACTGAGTCTTGATGAAAAAAAGTTTCATGAGGCTGTCTTCAGGCACTGCCAATGCCCAACTAGTCGTCCTTGAACATCTCTGCTTGTGTACGCTAATTCTGAGTTGCTAATTTTTCTTTTTGTCTGTGCCCAAAGGTCCATCACTGTCTCATACATACTCAGTGTTGATTGGAAATCGTGAGTGGATGCGACGCAATGGCTTGACTATTGCAAATGATGTGAATGATGCAATGACAGACCACGAAACGAAAGGACAGACTGCCATACTAGTGGCTATAGATGGTAACTGCTGTTCCTTGGTTGATCTTACTGATCAGTTGAAGGGAGAAAAACAAACTCTGGAGCAGATGATCACTGGCCTGGTGGCAAGAAACTACTAAGCTTTTGGCGTAGAACTGCTTGTGAACTGCAAAGTATCAAGCTGTTCTTAAAAGAAGCTTTCATCATAGAGCAGTGTTTACAAGATTTTGTTGTGTAGTTTTTACTGTAAATAATAATTTCTGAAACCCCTGTTGTCTAGGAATGTTTTTCAAAAGAGCAGTACCAGTGCAGTGCCACGTCCAAGCCTGATTTAATTTTCCTAGGGGTTGCAGGCCAACCTATTGCATGACTGATTTCAAAACATGTAATAAATAAACGTGATGATTCATTAGATCAGTCAAGTAGAGATTAGACTCAATGAGTTTTGCCATTGGGGTTCTGTTCTGTGCTATGCTGAAAGAGATCCCAGACAATACCTTGATATAAGAAATGGTTGTAATGGTCATAGATTGCCAGTGCATCTGTGATCTTGAAATGAGGCCTGTGATTCATTTACTGTACAAATATTCTTGGTACTCCTACAGAGAAATTTTGAGAGGCATGTGCACATGAAGGAAATATGGATACATCTTTAAGTCGACAGGTTGGAAGGCAGATGCAATACTTCTTTGTGAAAGGAATTAATTCTAATAGAGATCCAACCCTGAAAGAGTAAGGGACATAAAACCAGACACTCTATGGGCTTCCTCTTGGAGGATTGGCTTCAATATCTCTCCTGGGCACAAATTCAAAAATTTTCTCTGGTCCCCTATCACATTTATTCATACCATAAAACATAGGAGTCAGGCATGTTTAAAAGCTACCCTCCTCCCATTCCTCCTGGTCCTTAAATATCAAAGATGTTTATTGTTTGATCTGAAACAGATAAATGAGGAAAGAAAGAGATGATAAATGAGAAAGCTGCAGACAGTTATACAGGCAATATTGCCCAGAATGTGTTGGAGTGATAGAGGGGAAGCCCTTTCTCTTGCTGCCACTTTGCCTCCTACAGTTCTCTCTAACAGAGGACGTTTCTTTGTGCAGGTGTGTTGTGTGGAATGATTGCAATAGCAGACACTGTCAAGCAGGAGGCAGCCCTTGCCGTGCACACGCTGAAAAGCATGGGAATAGATGTGGTGCTGATAACAGGGGACAACAGAAAAACTGCCAAAGCCATTGCTACTCAGGTATCTGCTTCTTTGTGTTTCAAAAAAATACACAATGAGGTTTTAAAACTCTGGTTTGCCCCAGTGAATTTGAAGCAGGACTTCGGTTTCCCAGGAATCCCAGTTTCCCTGGATATGTTAAATAAAGATTAATGTTTCTTGAACTGGACTGAAAATTGGGTCAGGTCCTATGGCATAGTAAAGGGCAGTGGCTGCTGAAGACATGCAGTCAGTACTTCTCCAGAGGTATAGAGTTTCTTGCAGTAATCAGCTGCTGAACTGAAGCCTCCTGCTTCCCTTCACTGAAGGGCAGCCCTGTTTGGATAGTGATGAAGGTTCCTTGGAGGTCCAGTCCTGTTCACAACAAGGGAAGTGGGGATTTGTCAGTTTCTTCAAGGGTAACGTAGTAGTAACAATATGAATTATTGTTAAGAAGCATTGCAATCTAAAGGATGTTGGGTTTGTAGGAGATTCCCCTGATCTCAAACTATATATGCAAAATGAGGAACGGCTGAGGAACTGGGGTTGCTTAGTCTGGAGAAACGGAGGCTCAGTGGGGACCTTATAACTCTCTACAACTACCTTAAAGAAGGTTGTAGCCAGATAGGGGTTGTTTTCCTCTGCCAAGTAACAAACAATAAGACGAAAAAATATCTGCCCGGGGAAGTGGTGGAGTCACCATCCATGGAGATATTTAAAAGATATGTGGATGTGGTGCTTATGGGCATGGTTTAATGGTGAACTTGGCAGTGCTGGGTTAACAGCTTGACTCGTTGATCTTAGAGGTCTTTTCCAACCTAATCTATTCTGTGAATCTGTGATTTTTACTGAAACTTTTATTGGTGCATCATGCAGCATGATTAGCTGAAAACTGCCTCTTTTAACCATCAAACCCTTATTGCTAGGGTAGTGGAGCTTCAGAAGCCCTGCAGGGCATGATGCTTAGTGCAGAGCATTGTTTGCCTGCATCTCTGCAGTAAAGATGGGGGAGGCTATCATCAGGCCTTTTCTTAGGCCAAAGGCATGGCACTCCTCAGCTTTCTGTGTAGCTTGCAAGTGTTGTCTTCACTGGAATCAGTTTGGTTGATATTCCTGTGTTTCCCCCGCACCCAGAATAGCAAATGGCTCTCCTTTCAACATGAAACATATCACCAACTGAGTGTCTTTCTTTCTTTCTTTGTACATAGGTTGGGATCAAAAAAGTCTTTGCTGAGGTTCTTCCTTCTCATAAGGTTGCCAAGGTCCAGGAACTCCAAAATGGGAAGAGGAAGGTTGCAATGGTTGGTGATGGAGTCAATGATTCCCCTGCATTAGCCAGGGCTGACGTTGGAATTGCAATTGGAACAGGCACCGATGTTGCCATTGAAGCAGCAGATGTTGTTCTTATCCGAGTGAGCACTACAGTTTTAACCTGTCCTCTTTTATCCCTGATACTTTTGTTTTGGTGTTCTGAAGGCTGCATGTGGAAAACACTCAATGCTCTTCTGTCTTGCAGAACGACTTGCTGGATGTAGTTGCCAGTATTCATTTATCAAAGAGAACAGTTCGAAGAATACGAATAAATCTAATTCTTGCCTTAATTTATAATCTGCTCGGAATACCCATAGCAGCAGGTACGTGATGGCCAGAGTTCAGCTTGTTGAAGGCAGCAGTACAGTTGAGCTCTGTGGTGCATCATGTAGGATTCCCTGCTCAAGGAACCAAAGAGAGAGGTCCCTAGATTATTTAAAACTTGGTAGAAGGAGGACAAAATAAATCCTTATTCTTTTGTTCATATGAACAAAAATGTTTGTTCACCAAATTTTAAACTCTTAGGAATACAAAGTTCTAGATGAAATTGAAACCATGCTCTTACTTCACATAGCAGTACTTGGGGGGTTGTTTCTGTGTAATCAAAACCAGCTCTAATCAGATACACCATCCCATTTCTGGGTGCTCCTTCTTTTATTCACCCTGAATCTCACATTTTCTCTCCTACTACTTGCATTCTCTATATCACATGCTCCAGATTCCTACTCAAAACTTACTTCAAGCATGCCTCATTTTGTTTATGAGTAACTTCTTCCTTTGCCTGTATGATTGCGTAGTCTTTCTGTTGCTTTTGCAGCAACATTTGTGCAGAATAGCTGGAAGGGACAAATATTCTTACCTTGTGGCCACAGTCTTGTAGCTGTATTTGTGCAAAGGTCATCCCTTGCAATGGAATGGTCATATTTAGAAATAAGTGAGTAAATATATATATTGGTGTAGTTGTGTTTATGGAGGCCTCAGCAAGCCATGCTGTAGAACTGCTGATCTGTTCCACGGTACACAGGAATGGAAATGTTTGTGTTGGGAGAGGCGGCTCTGGCTCATGTCCGTATTTTTTTTTCTAGGTGTGTTCATGCCTGTTGGCCTTGTGCTTGAGCCTTGGATGGGATCAGCTGCAATGGCAGCTTCTTCTGTGTCTGTCCTGCTGTCTTCCCTGCAGCTGAAATGGCAAGTTGTCTTACACTTATCAGTTGGGGAACCGTGGCAACACTGATGATGGGACTCAAGTGAGACATTACTTTGGGCTTTCTATATCTAGATGCACTTGATCATGTCGATGTCGTAGTGGGTGCTGCGGCGGCTGCTGTCAGCACTTTAGCCTGACAGTCCTTTAGCTTGGGGTTGTTCTGTCTTATCCTTGGCTCCAAAAGAGACAGGTGTTGCTGTTATGAACTCACCTGGACTAAGAGAGTGCTGAGCATTCTTTAACTAGCAGCTGATGCCACCTGAGCCCATGTGTTGCAGATCTAGTTCATTACCAGGTAAGGTAATGATCAGCAGGTTTTGCTGTGGATATCGGGTGAACAAGTCATTCAAAAAATAATTCTTCATGATGTAGCTGTAGATTTTTAAAAAATATTTGTACCTGTTTGGTTTTTATTTTTGTCTATTTGAATTAACCAAAGAGAAACAGAGAAGCAATGTATTTATTCTATAGTGTCTGAAATTAGTCCAAACCTTCACATATTTTTACTGTGACTGGGGTCTTTTGTATATTACAGTATAGTACAGTACAGTATAGTATAAAATAATATAGGAAATCTGTTACTGCGCCATGTTTCTGATTCTGCAAATGCTCAATGAGACCACAATCTAAAATAAAAACTAAATACATACTCGTGTCTGTTTGCAGAATCAGCTCTACCACTACAGGATTTTGTTCCTAAAATCTTTCTGTACATCGTTATCCAAAGGATGAGAAATTTCTATAAAGGGATTGCTTTATTCTCAGTTTCTTTTGATCTTGTGCAGATTGCATTAAGTATCACATACCATTGTGGGCAGATATTGAGAACCCCCTCAAAAAAATGTTTGGCTTCAGACTTATGGAAGCTGTATTACAGTATATTCTCTAGGACAATCATCTTTCTTGAAGCTTCATATCAGCTGAACAGAACTTCAGATTCCAAAGAACGCAATAGTACATATATATGTGAAGAAGACTGTGCATATGTGCAATTGCTTTGACTTAGCATACATTAGATCACAAAGTGATTTTTGGGTCAGTCAAGCCCATTCACCTGCAATTATCTACTAATGAACCTTCTCATAGTTCGGCAAACTCATAATTTTTCTTAAAGAACCTCACTTTGAGTGGCCTTCTCTTTTATTAATGAGATGTTTTAATGCCGTGTGACAAGTACTCTTAGCCATTAACATTGTGTCTGAAGTGCATAGAACCACAGAATCATTTGGGTTGGAAAACACCTTTAAGACCATCGAGTCAAACCATTAACCTGACACCACCAAGACCACCCCTAGCCATGTCCCTAAATGCAGCAAAAGTGCTCAGCCAATGGTATGTGGCCTTGCATGATTGAAAACTGAGATCAAAAGCATCTCAGGAGGTGTTCTGCCATTTCTCCATCATCCCCCTTTTTGTGCCTATCTTGGCTTGAGAGAATTGGCAGTGTCGTGGTTTTGCCCTGGCTCAATTTACTTTTATACCCCCACATACAATTACTATCAGTTGAGAGAAGGTTTATGCAGACAAAAAAGAGACTGAATTGAAAAAAAAGGTATGAGTGTTTATTATTAACAAGCTAAAACTAAAGAATTATATTTACAACAATTCTACTTAAGTAAAAGGTATTATGTATTTACAGAAGATACTTCTCCCCCCACTTCCCTTTATATCAGTCCAAGGAGGAGAAGCAGTCTTTTTCTGTTCTCAGAATTCCAGCTCTCTCTCTTTCCAGTAACTCTGCAGCACTTTTGTCGCAGTTGGAACTTCTTTATCTCTCTCTTATTCTGTGTTGGCCTCCAGGGCTGGGCCTACCCCCCTCCTGGGTTAAAACCGAAGGCTGAGGGTTACCCAGGTCCTGAAGGGTCTCCTTCCATAGACTTGCAAGGGGACACTTGCTTACTATGGATCTTCTTCCACAGGGTTACAGGGGATAATGGTTTAAGAGTTCACCCCTGTTTCCCTATGGAGGTCCCTCCCCATGGGAGAACAGTCCTTGATTGACTTCTCGGCATGGGTCCAGTCTGGATCCCTTACTCGGATCCCAATATCCCACCTGAGCCATTTTCTGCTCCAGCGTAGGTTCTCTTTAGCACCAGCAGCACAGATCCCACACATGGATCCCAACATCCCTACTTGAACCGTTTTGTGTTCCAGCGTAGGTTCTAATACCCGTCAGGGTCATAAATCTTCAACAGCAGCAGCATGGATCTCTCACTGAGATCCCAAGCTTATCTGAGCCGTCTCGCTCCAGCATAAGCATCAATCTCTTCGAGGGTCACAAAGTCTTTAACAGGACTCTGCCTCATCTGAGCCACTTTTACTCCAGCATAAGGCTTTCTCTCTGTTAAAGTCACAAATCTCTGGTGCATCCACAAGCTCCTCTGTGAGCCGCACGGGGGTCTCTTCACCCCAACAAATTTTCACAAGTGGCAGGGATTTTATTTTTCAGTCTTTACCCTGCTGAAGGGAGGGAGAGCGAAAAGGAGAAAAAGCAGCTCTCCCCCCTTCGAACTTTTCTTCTCTCTCCTGCGACTGCAGCTTTGACCTTGAAAAATTCTGTTATCTCATGGCTGGAATTCTTCTGCAGCGGTTTCTCATCTAAGCAGTTCGTCTTTTAAACCTTTCTTTTTCTTCACTCTCTCACAAGAGAGAAGGAAGGCTTCAGTACTGCACCTGCCCCCCCCGGCCCAAGCCGGGGGAGGAGGGGGCCTTGGCCCTCCTCGGGCCCGCTACCCTTCTACATGGCTGCTGCTCCCAATTTCAACTGCGCCACCAACCTTCTCTTCCGTTTTCTTAAAGATGTAATTAGCAAAGGCGTCACTGAACTTTTTGATTGGTTTTTTGTCCGGAAATCACCTGGACAAAACCATCCTCAGCCCCAGGGATGGGCTGGTGGGCAAAACCATGACAGGCAGGCTCAAAAATTAAGTAATAATGAAAATTATTATTCTGTACCTGATTTTTGAGACCATTACATTCTTGACACCAAACGTTTTAAATTAATTATTTGTGAGCTATTAGATAGGAAGCTGTTAATTTAAACATATGTAATTAATCTATAAATTTATTTTTTCTATAGAGATACTTTCAATACAGTTAGGTTATCAGAAGTTTCAGATTTGTTCCAATGCAGAAGATGCTTCTACACATTGACCTCTTGGTATTAAATATCTTTTCTCCTTCTCTTCTTAGTTACAAGAAGCCAGACACAGAAAGTTATGAAGCTCGAGCTCAAGGCCATATGAAACCACTCACTCCTTCTCAAATCAGTGTTCATATTGGAATGGATGATAGGAGAAGGGATTCTTCCAGACCGGCTCCTTGGGACCAGATTAGCCAAGTGTCTCTCTCTTCCTTGGCTTCAGACAAGCTGCCGAGACGTAATGGTTTTGTTGAGGAGGAAGGGGGAAAGTGGTCACTGCTCATGAATGGAGGAGATGAGGAACAGTACATCTGAAGCCGTGTATTCTTAATATAGACAAATGTTTCTCTTCACCAGTGACGGGAGGGACTGACTTGTTTCATCAGGAGCTTCAAGGTTGTAAGTGAAGTTACTCCTTCAGCTCATATGACAATTGCAGCCCAGCTCAGTGTTGGGTTGTACAGATTGTGGATTTTTTTTCAGGACACCAGTTATTTCTAGTTATGGAAATAATCTGTGGCTCTATAATGAACTGGCTTCTTTGCACACAGCATTAGTGAAATAATGTAAAGTGGTAATTTTCAGAGTCTAAAAGAGTTTCTTTGTGACTCTTTGCTAGGCACCAAATTTCATACTTTTCACTCTTTCTAACTTTATTCTTTCAGGAGCACATGAAGCAGAAGTATTTTCAGAGCTGCCAAATATTAATGTGTTTCTAAGTGAAATTAGCAATGGCATAAGGAGCTCTGTGGTCTGAAGTTGAATTTTTGCACAGAATCCTAACTAGTCGTGTCACTGTGAGAACACTTTGTATTTAGGATTCATGTACATCTTCTTGGACCAAAAATGCTTCGTTATTTCACTGGCTATAACTCTCTGAAGGGTCTGTTTCAAAGATTTTCACTTGGTTTTGGGTTTTCCATCCTTTTGATGCACATTTCCATTGCTGAACTTGTTCTGTGATTCCCATTGCTCTCCTAGATTTTCTCTTTTGCTCCGTATGAGCCCTTTTTTCTCCTTCCCTTGCACAAGATATCTTCTGTAGTTACTATTATGTATGCAGGTATTCCTGTTTGGTACAATCTCCTTTAAAGGTCACCAGGAATTTTTCCATTCCTACTGAAGTCCACAAAGGCAGAAAAATTCCTGGTCCAAGTTATCCAAGATACTTCCAGGACCCCAGGAAGCTCCTGACAGTTGGGCAGTTATCTGTCCCTTTCCTCTAACGGACTGAAGAATTTATACCAGTGAGAGCAAAATTGGTATTTACCGTGGTATGACTGAGAACAGAACTATCACTGGGGGGACTCCAGCACAGCAGAACAGAGTGAATTTATTGCATAAGTTAACCCCAGCTTGCTGGTTGCTTAAAACGGAGTCCAAAGTTTAAATGATAAACGTGGAAAAATGGCCTTAAAATGTGGGGCTTCTGTTTGCTATCATATGTAAATAAATGACAGGAGGACTTGAACTAAGAAGATTTGTAATAGCAAATGTAAATTTGTATTCATGTTTTGAATTGGTTTTAGTTTCCTTCTTTGTTCTATTTTATTGAGAAATCATGGTGCTAAACAACCCTTTTTTTCACCGTAACATCTTTTTCCAAAGCTTGCAGTAACTTTATCCCCTTTAATGTCAAATTCATCCCTTAACACTTTTTAGAGTCAAGACAGTAGGAATCAATGGCTTTGGTGCACTGGATCCAGTCCCAGAGTGCTGTGTTGTCCAACTGTGGGACACTGATGTAAGCAGACCAGAGTTTTATAATCTAAAATAAAAACTGAAAGAAGAGGAAATGTTATGCTAAACTGTGTGAAATAACCACTTACTTTCATTGCCTTAAATATAAAGCTGTTTCCAATGTGGGTTCAAATCCTGCTTCTTCTAATGTAATAATGAAAAACGAGTAAGAGAGGAAAAGAATTGTGCTTAAAACATTGGCCTAGGTTTTAAGGACAGTCTTCCTACTCTGTCTTCCTCTTATTACTGTATTTGAGCTCTCCTTAGCAAACACTGATGGCACTGTCTTATATATGATTATAAATCAGTTTTAAAACTCTCTATAAATAGAGATTACTTTCACAGCACACACACTTTTCAGATATGCCATAGGTGCTTATACATTTCCCTGTGGGAAAGAGGGTCTGCTGTTTCATTGCTCTATGCTTTCTTACCAGTCCTTGTGGTAAAAATATGGTTTGTTTTTTTTAAACAAAGAAACAAATAAATAACTTTGCGTCTTTGTTATTCTTTTTCTTTGTTGTCTTTTTTCCTTTTCCTTTCTCTTTTCCTTTTTTTTTTTGAGAGGTACAGAATAGAAAAAGAGCATAAGCAGGGATTGTTGGATTACAGGCTACATATGCACAAGGTTTTATGACTGTTTTGTGATCTGTTTCAGGCAGGACATATAGGGGGGGAAAAAGAGACAGTATTGTATGTGTTGAGACAGGTGAGGTTTCAAGCATGTTGAAGGGTGGAAATAGGATTCAAAATTATCTTGGGAAATTGGACAGAACTGGAAAACTTTGCAAATAAGAAAGAAAGGAATTAAAGTTTAGCCCAGCAGAAAAAGGTCAGGTAGTTGTCTGGCATTCGTTTTGTGACCTGTTCTAACAACATAGCCATGCTGCAAAATTAATAGAAACATTGAGATGTTTATATCATCCATATGACATAAAGCACCTCATTCTGTTCTGTTCTGAAGAAGCACCAGCTGTAATATCAGGTCTAGTTTTATATGCCATGCTTGTTAGGAGAACAGGTCAGAGAAAAGCAATGAGATTTAACAAAAATCTAGAAAACATGAGAACATAAGTATATGAGAATGAGAATTATAAGAAGATGGAAGGAGTTGGAGTAGGTTTGCCTGCAGAATACTCAAAGTAAATACAAGTCTCAAAAATGAAGAGAATGATTTATTTCTTTCACCTCTTCAGTGTCTTGTATGTTGGTGGTGGCTAGAACAAGGAACAATAGGCTTATTGAATCAAAAAAGATCTAGATTAGTCACTAGGGAGGAACCGTGTAACAGAAAAGATTGTGGAGGACTGGAAGACATTGCAGAGGGGAGTTCTTTGGATGTGCATGGCAATCATGCACGTATCTGATGAAAATGTGTTAGCTACAGGTGAATCCTGCCTTGGGGCAGGCAGTTGCTCTGGACGAGCTCCTAACCTTGTCCCCAGCTGGGCTTTCTCTTATTTCTGTGAATGTTTGATGAACTGGAAAATTGTTGGAGTAGAGGATTGATCACACTATCCTGCTCTCAAGAAGTGCCAAAGAACTGGAAGAAAGATTATGTTTGACTTGTTTAATAACTTTAAATGAACTGGAAAATATGTTAAGGGTTGCTAATTATATTTGTGTAATGTCTTAGGCTGTAAACTGCTGTGAAACTTGCATAAATCTTAGAATCAAAGTGGTTTTGGTTGAAAGGATCCTTTTAGTTCATCTAGTGCAACCCTCCTGCCATGAACAGGGAGACCTTCCACTAGAGTGGGTTGCTCAGAGCCTCATCCAACCTGGCCTTGAACACTTCCATGGATGGGGTATCCACAGCTTCTCTGAGCAACCTCTGCCAGTGTCTCACCACCTTTACAAATAAATAATATTTTCATAATATCTAATCCAAATCTACCCTCTTTCAATTTAAAGCCATTGCTCCTTGTCCTATCACTACATGCCCTTGTCCAAAGTCCCTCTCCAGCTCTCTTGTAGCTCCCTTTAGGTACTGGAAGGTGCTATAAGATCTCCCTGGAGCCTTCTCTTTCCCAGGCTCTCAGCCTGTCTACATAAGAGAGGTGTTCTAGCCCTCTGATCATTTTTGTGGTCCTCCTCTGCACTTTTTCCAACAGGTCTACCTTTATCCTTCCTGTGTTGAGAGCTCCAGATATAGATGCAGTATTCCAGGTGGGGACTCATAAGGGCAGAGTAGAGGGGCAGAATCACTTCCCTCGACCTGCTGGCCATGCTGCTTTTGATGCAGCCCAGGATATGGTTGGTTTTCTGAGCTGCAAGTGCACATTGCTGGGTCATGTTGAACTTCTTGTCAACCAACACTGCCAAAGTATAAATACCTATGAGGAAGTTAGAATAGTCATACGTAGTGAAAAAAAAAAAAAGGTGATAGTCCTGACATTTGTGATTCTGTGCATTTGTTAAACTTGAGCTGACTCACTGGAGGGGTGTATGAGATGGAGCTCAGCATCTGCATCTCTGCATAACGTAATTATGAGCTTTCCTTGTCTCTACGGGGATTGTCTGCCTGCAGCCCTCTGGCAGAGCGAGGTGCTGGTCTGTGACTGCTGCTCCTCTGCCCTGTAAGCCAGATCCAGTAAAAGAGCTGGAGGAAGATGCCTGAGAAGACAGGCTCTTGGGGCAATTTCTAAGCTCAGTGCCCTAGCTGCTTGCCAGTGTGCCACACTTCTTCTCTTTCCCAGGACTGAGTATTTTCATGGATTAGACAGTTTGGAGGAACTTTTCAAATTACAGCTTTGATCTCAGGTGTCTACATTCTGCATGTTCTCCCAGCATGACTCAGTTGCTGCCTATCTGACCCCTAAATGTTGATATATCCAATGATTTACGTGAGACATCTATTTATTTTGCTCTTGGAAAAGTTTGTGAGTCTTTTTCTGTAACTTTTTTTTTTAATTTATTTTTTTTCAATGAACACAGAAGATGTCTAATGAATCAGATCTTTGACCTTCATGTTATTTTTAGTGCAATAGCTCATGAGCACTGTTGCCTGGGAAGTTTTTCAACCATTTTTCTTCTCATGTTACAGTTTTCTGATACAACTTTTTGGTGCCCTAAGTTCACAGGAAAGAAAGGATTCCATTTAGTTTCTTCCTCCTTTCCCCCTTTTTCAAACAAATAAACTGTCTGATTTCTATCCCAGCTGATTACAACCTTTCTCTGACTAAGTATTCGTCCAAGGATTGTATTTTCTCTAAATGCTTTTGTCTGTGAACAAAAAAATGAGTAGGTGGTGAAATTATACAATGGTGTACAGGGATGTGAAATCAGATAACACTGAAATGTCAGATTTAATTTCCTCTGCTAAGGCGCCAACAACAAGCGTGTTGGTTTTCAGTGGGAAATTGTTTGAGAGTCACAACAAAAGAAGTGGTGAAGTGCAAAACATTCTGTTCACATGTGAGTCTCAGACATAAGCACAGGAGAATATATTAATTCTTCTCCTTGTCTCAAGTTAAAAGCACTCAGGCTTTGCTGGCAAGCTCAGCCCATCCCCAGGCTCTTCATGCAATGGTCTGATTTTCATGATTGGTTTATCTTCATGCTTAAAAGGATGGTTTCTGAAGTTTCCCCTGTTGCTGCAGGGGAAGAGGTGTGCTAGGAAGAGGTGTGTGTTTTGCTGTAAAGCATCTAAGATCCAATATGTTCACTGCTGGATAGCAGCAAGTGGAAAAAATATAAAGGGGGTAGTTTAAGTCATGTCTAAAATTTTGGGCTGACTTAACTTTATAGAGCCCAAGAAACAGGTTTTAGGCTAGCATGTGTTTGCCTTGAACTCTGAATTGGTACTTTGTTTGTATTATTTGATGCTTAAGTAAATCCAGAGCTACACAGGTGGTATCTGCTGAAATTACTTTCTTTTTCCTTCGACAAGCTGAGATTCAAGAAGAATAGCTGCACTGAAGGAAGCTGCATGTGTCTCATAATAGATATCAGAAAATAAATTAGGTATAAGTCTGAATATTTGAGGCTTCTAAACAATTAGGGAGCTACCCAAAATCCATACAACTATATTTAAAATGAATACACAGACTGGATTTGAAAGAAGTTTGCCAAACTGTTTTAATTCCACTGCCACCTCTTATTAAGATTGACACAGTGCGCTGTTTTTGTAAAAAGCATCAGTGCTTGAGCCTGTGGATTTCATCAGGCCCCTTGGAGGTCCCTGCAGGGTGTGAACAGGAGCTGGTGCCAAGCCTGCTGCTGGGAAAGGCTGGAGGGGCAGATTCACTGCACAGGGGGCACTGGGCACCAGTGGCTGTGGCCATTTTGGGTGCACCCATTTTCAGTTTACAGAGTTGTCAAATTTCCTGTGTGTCAGTGGGCTGGTTTATAGGAATGAAGCAGGGGACACAGGGAAGGGTCTCATCCAGGTTTGCAGTGAAGGTGTTTTTGTGTGCAGGTTCATGTGAGCTTTCCTGCCAGGTAGGGGATTACTTCATCATGTGCACACAGTGACAGGCATGATTAACTGTCTTTTTTCCTGGAGTGAAAATGTAAAAGGCTTCTCTGCAGAGGAGCGCTGGATTTCAGATGGCCCACATGTCCCCAGAGCAACCTGTGTTAGCTCACTGTTGACTGGGATCACAGGATGTGCCAAGCAGCGTGGGGCAGCTGCATGCTCTTGTGTAAAGAGAGCACTGGCACCACCTCACATGTCCTGCTGTGCCTCCAGCAGTGCCTCTGCATGGACACAGCCGATGGACTACATCTGGTTGCTGTGAAAAGACAAGAAAACCCCTTGGCTTTCCTACAGGACACAGCATCAGACTGTGAAATGTAAACCATTGTGGGCTCAGCCACTTGTAACCTGCGTGCAGTTTGCAAGCAGGTTACATTCTGACAATGCTCACATCCACCCCATCCAGCTCACACAGGCAGAACTGGCAAAATTTTATTTAAGGCAAATCAAATCTGCACAGGGGCCTTTCTCCAAAGCCTGCCCATGTGTTCCAGTGGTGCAGGAAAGGATGTGCAGTGTCAGGCCCTGCTCCAAGAGACTTGCCTGCATACCCGCAGAAAGGGACCTCACTTCCAAGGGTTAATGTTATTTTAAGATAACTCTGCATTGCAGTTGCAAATCTGAGTGGCTGGAAACAACCTGCTGAACAGGAAAGAGCTCATTAAATATATGCTGTCACTGATTTATAAGAGAGTGCAGAGACAATATAATTACTATAATTATGTCAGAATCTTGCTGCAGAGTTGCCGTTTGTGTTGGGAATTTTATCTTCTCTCCATGGCAGGAGGATTAAAAAACCACGTACACCTGCCAATATATTTGTGCCACAACTAACTTAATCAGAAGCTTTTGTTTGATTGCTCTCTTTGCAGACCATGGAGCTTGTTAAGTATATCATCATCTTAGGGATGAACAAGAGGAAGGCAAGACTTTTGAGTAGCATGCTGCTTGCTTCATGTCCATGGGGGAAGCAAATTTTGACTGTAAAGGTGACCTGGCCAACACTATTCTGGCCAAGGCCATGTTGCAGGGAGAAGATTTATACCAGTAGCTCACAAGCTTCTGGAAGGGTGGTTTTGGTGGAAGATGCCTGCAGTCGCCTGCATCTGCTAATGCAGGCACCCACAGCTGGAACAGGTGGGCTGAGAACGTCAGCAGTGAGTGTGAGGTGTAAGTTCTTCTCTGGGCACACTCCAGTGCCTTAATGTATTTCTTTTAGTGAGGGGCCCAGAACTGGACAGAGGATTTGAGGTGCAGTCCTTGACCAGTGCTAAGTACAGGGGGGCTATCACTTCCCTGGTCCTGCTGGCCACACTATTGCTGATACAGGCCAGGATGTCATTGACCTTCTTGCCCACCTGGACGCGTGTCATGGCTCATGTTCATCCAGCTGTTGACCAGCATCCCCAGGTCCTTTCCCACTGGGCCACTTTCCAGCCTCTCTTTCCCCAGCCTGCAGTGTTGCATGGGGCTGTTGTGACCCAAGTGCAGGATGGAGAGAAACTAGGACATGAGGGTTGCTTTTGTAAGAAGGAAGCACCAGGATTTTGAGGCCATCAGGGCACTTTGCTGGAGGATCCCAGAGGGTAAAAACACTCAGCCATTCAGAGCAGTATCAAGGTCTGACCAGCACCCACCACAGCCTACAGCTGGAGCCAGGAGCACCCCAAAGCCTGCAAGTCCAAGGTAGGTTTTACACAGCACCTCTGCACTAAAAGAGGTGTCAAATCAAGACTCCTTTCCCCAAGAAAGCCATTAACCAGTCATTAATGGTTACAGCAATAATTCCTCAAGATTAAATAAAAGGAGGAAATGAGAATTTGACAGAGTTCTTCTCCCTTCTGAATACACTAAGCTGTAGGAAAAGGTCTTCTTGCTTAAATAATAAGCACGTTGGACAAATATAAGTCAGCAGAAAAATAGGCTTGCTCTCAAGATGTTTTTAAAGTAATAAGAAAAGCAGCTTTGCTCAGAGATTTCGGTCCTAGGATCTTGGGCCAGAGAGGGCAAGGGATTGGGGGGAAAAAAGGCTGAGCCCAAAGCAGCCTTGCTGTTTTCCTCCTTCAGAAAGTGTTGAATTCTGTGGAAAAGCACACCTCTGTCATCACTGTTAATAATGTTGTTAAATAACTCCCTATGTGTTTATTAAATGTAAGCGCTGAGATAAAGTTTTACAGTAATAAAATGTCAAGCCAATTCCATGGGGAAAGTGTTGATTGCATCTTACACAAAGCTGAGCTAAGGCACAGGTGAAGTGACTTGAGCACTGTCTGAACTCAGCAGGGACAAGGATGTTTTGCATTTCAGCTCTCTCTTCGTCACCATCTTGCTTTGTTCTCCTAGTCACTTGGCTTGTTTTTAAAAATCCCACAAAAACCAAATAAAACAAAAACTTGAATTTAAAAGCACTAGCTTCTAGCTTTGCAATAACAAATGAGCAAAAACATAACTTGCCAGCAGGCAAGTTACTGGTCTCTGATTCAGACACATATGACTTTTCCCAACATCTTTTTCACCCTCCCTATTCTCATCAGCTCTTTCATCATTTCAACATCTTGTATGAGTAAGTCAGAAAATAAATATTTTGGAAACCCCTGTAATAAGGGACCTGAAGAGTAATGAAATGAGCAGATTTAAAGTTCTGCCAAGGGCGTGTGTATTTGTGCATCACGTTTACCCATCTA